TGTTGAATTATGATCTTTTACAAATGGTCTTTGCCTTCAAATTAGTTTCGAAGAAACTAATCTAATCTTTAAGATTCAATGGTGGAAGAATAATGATACTTAAGTCAATTATGACTGTAGTAATAAGGAGAATCCTGCAATTTATATTTTTCACCTACAGTTTTCAATGATAAAGCCACTTCTTGTGAAATCAAGTCCCAGCTTTACACACAAAATTTTATCCAAACAAAAGTTATCCACAGAAATTATTTCTACTTTGGCTTATAACTATAACCTTCTAAGTTTTGCTTACTACCCATAAAAAAGGGAGACAGATGGTACAGTGTAGAGACTATATGCTTCAGAGCTCTTAACAGGCATTCATATCTTTCTTGTTTGTATCATTTTCAAAGTAAGTACAAACTATATCTGATTCAAGATAAAGCACTTTTTTTGTATTTTAACTTATTTTGTTAAATATAAATATTTTGTATTTACTTTGTTTTTTGGGTTTTTCTTTTTTTGCATTTTAGTTAAAATGGTATATATTTCCAATGAAATTTAGTTTTTGAAATTGTACAAGAATCCCTAGTCACAGTCTTAAAGTAGTGGCTTTCTGAAACTTCGATAATGAATGAAACTTTAATAATAAATACAAATGGAGTGAACACACCTGGATATAATAAAGTTTGGTAAAATTGCAGTTACACTGCTTTAAGGCAAAATCAACATACTAGAAAGTAACATTTCTGCATCCATCCTTTAATGAGTATCTGTTAGAAACACATGAAGTGGCAGAAAAATTTCTTTAACAGAATAGATGATACATGCACTATGCCCAAAATGCATAAATTCTAGCAGCCCCATGAGAATACATTATCTAAACATTAGAAGAATCTATATGTAATCAGTGCTTAAATGAGCCTATTTTCCATTAAGGTAATCAAACTGTTATTAAAATTTATCAGTGCAAAAATAGCTCCACAAACTGCTAATGTGTTTTTATGTCTGTTCTGAATTCTCAAAAATATGATAACAGCAATTATTTATCAGTTAGAGTACTGCATATGTGAGGATCATAAAATTATAATGAGCAAAATAAAAACTTTTAGTTTTCAGTATTACATTTCAGTATTACATTCTAACAGTACTGGAATACTATAAAATTAATTATTCCAAGAGAATTTTGGTAGCTTTAGATCTTTAAAAAAATCTATTTATTATTTGTAAGAAATACTAAGTAAATTCTAGAATTCCACACAGCTGATGCTACGAAGCAAACAACTCCCAGGAATGAGAGAACAAAACTTTCTCACACATGTACATGCTAGTCTATTAGTATATAGCTACGTTATTTAGTATACATAATCTAAGACTATGGTCTCAAAGAATGCCCTGAAAACTTCTGTGGGTCAGAGTGTACACCGGCTCAATCCCAAAAGGATATTACCATTTAGTTTAAAAAATATATATTTTTTAGAAAGAAATAGCAATTTGGATAAAATTTAATAACACATTCCCAAATAAATTAGTAAACATTTCATCCTCATGATCTCTCTATTTTACACATCTCTAAACTTTTAAAGCATTTAAATTAGTAAGCTAAAAAAGTATTAATTCACTGAAACTTAGTCAATGAAAATGATTTTGCATAGTTTACAACAAGAACAGAAAACAGTACTATAGCACTTGATTAAGGGGTATTGAGCAGCCCATTCATGTAAAATTTAGTTCAGCACTATAATTAAAAATCAAAGAAAGTAGTAAATAATTCAAAGTAACCTATAATACCACTGAATCATATATAACGTAAAAGTTGTAAAACCTTAGTATATACATTTTTTAAAAGTTCAAATGTAATTTAAAAAATTATTTGTGGGTCTGATATTTGCTTTAAAAATAATACAGTGATGGAGTGGATAGGGATAGAGATGAAACAAGACTGAGCATTTTTTCAGAATTGTTGAAGCTGGGTAATATGTTTATGGGAATACAGTATAATATTCACTCATATATGAAAAATTTTATTATAAAAAGTTATAATAAAAATTAAAAGTATTAAAAAATCTTGCTAAGTAATAACTTTTTAAAGATAAAACTTACAAAGATTAAAGAACAAACTATAACCACATTACTAAAATTTTCAGTTCTAAATGAAAATCAGGGCCTTCTTATGGTATGTTAATTAACACAAATTCACGAGACTTAGGCATAAAATTGAATTCTAAGAAGAGCACAAGTTGACTTGCTAAGTAGCTATTACTATAGTCAACTCTTAATTAACTTCGTTGACTAGATCCCTGTTCTCTACATCCCATCTTTTTTTAAAAATATAAACATTCTAGTGATGTTGCTCCTTATTTAAAAGCAGCAAAATGGGATCAACCAGAACAGAGAAATATTGGCAATTATTATTATTTTTTTTTGCTATTCATTCTCTTCTGTTAAAACAAGTACTGAGGAAGGAAGGTAAAATAAATATTCTAAACAAAATTTTAAAACATAAGATTTTAATTGTCTTCCCTTGCCATGGAAAAAAAGAATAGTGCATCCAGTTTTAACACTTGTGAGTTTCAGATTCAAATAAAATTTATTTTGATATTCTTTCTGTCTCTAATTCATGAAACATTGATCTTATTTGTATAGAGGTCTCCTAGGATACGAATGATTATTCACTTCCTGACACAACAATATGCTTGTGTTGGGTATTGGGTATTTGACTAAAATGTACTGTTAACTGACAGTACGTGATAGGTTTAAGAGAGACAACGTGCAATCTCAGAGTTGTTACTGACGAACTATGTGACCCACGACAACTCACCTAACATCTGGGATTTAGTTTCCTCACGTGCCAAAGGCACATGCTTTCAGACTTTGATATTTTACACTGTAATCCAGCACATACACATATATGTATATGACTGAAACAGTTTCTACTATTTATGTTTTTATACTTTTTTTTCAGAAAGGACTCACCAGTGAGAACCCCAGAGGCAACCACGACCCAAGCACAAGGGAGCAAGAGGAGAACCACATGTCCCCCTAGTTTCTTCTTTTAAGGTGAGTTTTACTCTGATATTTTCTATTTGGTTTTATATTTATTTTTTCAAAAGGCCATGAAAAACCTATTAAATTAATTTCAAACTACCACAGTTTGGAAAATCCTGGATTACATCATCTCTGAGGTTTCTTCTAGCACTGATATTCTGGGGATTCTAACATTAGCTGTAAAATATTCAGTTTTCAGGTGGAAATCTTGATTTCAGTCAAGAAATGTAGTTGAGTATTGATTAATACTGATTAATGTAAAATCTAAACAAGTTCAGGGAATAAGTCTTCTAAAATACTACAGTTAAGTATTTTTAAAATAATGAGAGAAATGATAAGATTATGTAATGACTTTAACATAATTAAAAGCTTAAATTGACCTGCTAGGTTTTATATTCAGAAATCTGTCAAATATCTTTGTGGCTAATCTATAAATCCCAGTAGTTGAAGAAGCTATATCTTCAAGTCAAAGTAACTGCTATTAGACTCCCAAGATCAGAGAAAAATCAGTAGAGGAAGTCCAATCCCAGGTAGTAACTAAGTATTAGCAAAACAGTAAACATTTAGAAAATTTTGGTGCATAAAGTAAACTAGAAATAGCTTTTATAAACGTTAAATACAAAAGTTCTTATTTCTAAATGCAACAGTATTCAGTGCAGATGGCTCAATTTAAGTGTTCGTCAAAGAAATCAAGTATATAATTATAATCAGTCTATTTATTAAATGAATATGTTAAATATAATTTAATATTAAGAAAATATTTCCTTCCCTCCACATAAGTAAAATATTTTTAAAAACTGCATACTAGTAATAGTAACATCATTCTTCAATAATTGCATATTTAAAAAGACCATATGTATAACAAATCAATGTGAACATATAGTCTCCAGACTAGAAGAACAAAAATTCTCAGGTGTTCAGTCATCTTTATAACTATAAAAAGAAAATATGCTTATACTCAAATAGTTAAAGCATTAAATCCATTATAACTCCAAAATACATCTACTGTTTTATGCAAAACTATTAGCATTTTTAGCAACAAATTAGAATAGCCTCACAGTCAAACAGTTTTCCCCTGTTAATTCCTAAAAAATCCCTTAACTAATTTTGTCTTCTTCCTCAGCCTGATCATGAGGTCCCTCAATGTTAGTCTCTACTAAAAAAAAAAACCTGTTTTTAAAATTTTAACTAAAATTACCGAGTGAAAAGTTTCCAAAGAAGGATAAAAAGTAACTTTAAGACAGATGATTGATATGTGTTTGTTTTACATTTGCAATACTGCAATTTCATAGACCTCCTTATATTCTAAAAATACCACAATATGGCTAATAACTGGTTTGGAACACATTTAGGATAATTTACGTTTTTTTAGAATATCAAATTCTTTTAAAATTCAGAAGCAAGTGAAGATTTATCTCCTGTTAGTTGGTGTGCAAAATTAAATCTGCTGTTAACACTAACAAGCTCATGCTAGAAGTTACCCCACTGTCTCCTTCTGTGAAATCATGCGGTGGGATCACCTCTAAGGCTACGGTAATTAATTTCAGAGTGGGAAGCCTATTTTAAAAAAATTACAATTTATAACCTTCAAGAACATGCATGAATATAGAAACCAGGTTAACACAAGGGGCCTTTTAGGGACTATGTTAAAAAATAGGTAGAAGTGATTTACAATATTTTGTTTCACTGAAAAATAATGTGCACTGTAATTAGCTCAGTACTCCTTTTTCTATATAGATAATGGAAATGTTCACTCCAGTCCATCTAGGTAACTATAAACAATAAATTAATACAATTTCCCTGTATTTCCTTTGTGAGGTTAACAAAAGTTAAAAAAAAAAAAAAAAGAAAAAGAAAAAAAGTCTGACCTGAAATTTTCACTCAAAGGTTGTAATTGCAAGAATTCCTGAAATCAAATAAATTTTTGTATTTACGCATTTTACTTAATCATGATTGTTGAATTGAATCTGTACCTATGTGAAAATGGCAATGCATTCTGAGTTGGTTCAGCCCTTGGCTCTGAGTTCTGTGTCACATCAGGTGTTCTTTCATCGTCTGTCCCATTGATACTTTCTGGTGTTAAAGGAGACTGAAGATCCCCGCCTGCTGATTCCTTTAAAAAAGGGGATGGAGGATAAAAACAGTTACACTTCTGTTAAAGCACACAATATCATCTTAAAGTTAAAACTGACTCTCATTACTTATGAACCTAATTTCAAATTTGGGTCAAAGACTTAAAAAATAGAATTTGAAAGATAAACAATTTTTTTGGAAGCAAAACAACTCATAAGAAAATTCAATGAAACATAATACAATTAGAAATGTAAATATAATACAATTTAGAAATGTAGTTTCAAAGAACTGAAAAACTTTTGGATTTATATAAGTAACTAACTGGTCAGAATAAAAGATATTCAAAGAATTACTACAGAAGAAAAAGAAGACAACACAAAAATGGAAGAAGATGTAATTTTATCTTGGAGGAAGACAAAGATAATGGGAGGAGTGCAGAAGAAAAAAGGGGGGAGGGTAGAAGGGCAAAGGGGAGTATTAAAATCTGCAGTAAATTTTAATTTTATCCACTCTAATTTTCAATTTCTATAGAGCTATTTACAAAAGCAACCAGAAATACTTCTATAATATACACGTATTATACATGCAGTGGATTGAATTATGTCCCCCAAAACTCAATGAAGCTTGAATTGTGTCCCCCAAGTTTTATGTATTAGAAACTTACCCCACTGTGACTGTTAAGAGGGCGGGAAATCCTATTATGGTAACTGAAAGGTGTAGCCTTGAAGAGGTGATTGGATTGTAGGACCATGCCATAGTCAATGGATTAAAAACGGTGGTCAGGGGCATGATTCTGAGGGCTTTAAAAGAAGGGGGACTGTCTTTCTCTCTCTCTTCTCTCTCTGCTTCCACCATCTTGGAATGTGAGACCCCTGGGTCACTGTCGCCACTACCAGATGGACTCTAGACTTCCTAGCCTCAGAAACTGTAAGCAATAAATGTCATTTTTCTTTGTGAATGACCCAGTTTCAGGTATTTAGTTATAAGCAACATAAACAGAGTAACACAATATGTAATGATGTTAGTGCATGTCAGTTTTTCTTGGCTAGTACACATAATGGAATTTTTTCTTCACAAAATTTCCTGTCTTATTTCTACTTTTAATTAATATTTGCTCATACGGGGCAGACCCCGTGGCTCACTCGGGATAGTGCAGCACTGGGAGCGCCGAAGCTGCGGGTTTGGATCCTATATAAGGATGGCCCGTGTGCTCACTGGCTGAGCGTGGTGCAGGCAACACTAAGCCGAGAGTTGCAATCCCCTTACCGGTCAAAAAGGAAAAAAAAAAAAAATTTGCTCATAAGAACAAGAAAAAAGTTCCAATAGTAAATAAGGACATAAAAGGAAAATGAAATTCCCATTCCCTCCAACTACCCAACAAGTAGTCAAAAGTATTCTATAAAACCTTCCAGAAATTTTATATATGCTAAAAATAGCACTGTGAAACTTGTTTTTATCAAATATATTTAAAACATCTAGATCTTTTCCAATTTAAATTCTGTGTAATTTCATAAGCATTCAACTTTATTCTTTAGAAAAATCTACTTCTAAAAAAATCAACATTTTATATCCTCAAATCAAACACTAAACAAAAAACTTGGGAAATATTTATTAGATTACAGACTTCTGGGAAAAAAAGGAATAAATTCTCTTTAAGGAAAGATTCTTAAGCTAATATGACTGCCCATTTCTATAATAAATGTTTAAGAAAAAATTGATCAAATGATATCTTCTTTGAGGTACAAGGATACTTAAAAAACTGTGTGGAAAGATTTGTATTATCTTTAAGTTTTCCACGAGCTTTTGAAGTACCCTCATATACACACACACATGTATATGTATGTATGTACATGTAAACCAAAGATGCTAAGAAAAATGAAAAAAGCAAAAAAAAAAAAATGTAAATAAAAATAGATATAATGAATGTCTCTATTACCATCCTTATTTTGAGAAAATAAAATCACTCACATCTCACTTTGTTTCTGGGAAACACTCCCCATACCCCCCCACCAAAACAAATAATCTGCAGTGAGAAAAATGACAGTCAAATTGAAGGAAAAAAAATCTATTTTTAGCAGTTAAAATCTGAGAATATCAAGGAAGCCAAAATTGATAGATGCAACCATATGTGGGTACGTCAAAAAGTTGGTAGAAAAATGGAATTGAAAGATAATGCAAATCTTTCCTTGAACTTTTTGAAGACCTCTTATATTATAAGAGAGAAGCCTGAGCACACATGTAAGATTCAGGAAGTGATCCTTAAGGATCTCTCTTCCTATCCACGTATGAAGTAGCAAGAAAGCGAAAAACCTAGAATATTCTGAACCACATGAAAAAGAAATGACCTTGGCCCTCACTCCAGGGCCAGTCTTCATAGTGGTATCACCAATCTACTATGTAGTAGAAGGCTGGACTCGGAGTTATATGGCAGCACTGCTCTTCCCCACTGCACCAAATACCACTATCACTTTCCATTTAATTCCAATAAAGAATGAAATTAAAATTCCTGTACAGTTTTATCCTTCTTGGCTTAAGCAGAACAGGGCCCTCTCTTTATCATTTAACATTCATGGAATACCTACTTCATTCTTTTATGTTTAAATGAAGGTGAGAATGCCACTCTTTTCTGAGTAGAGGCTCTTACAAAAAAATTGGGGAAGGAGCTAATGATTTTGAGTTTCCATGGCAGTGGAAATGGAAAGAAATGCTAGGAAAGAGACAAGAAGAACAGCAAAAGTATACATAAAGGAAGTTGAGGCCACGATCTCAGACAATCATCCCCTAATCTTCTGTCATAAACTATTCCCTATACCTGGACACCATTCTGAGCCTCCATCTCTGGAATCCCATTTTCTGACAACCACAGAAGTTCTTATAATCTAATTCTCTGGATTAACTCATGCTTTCCCTTTCCTATGTAAAATGTATTGGCTGATTGATGCTCAGGGCTAGTGGGTTAATCTCCACTCTGCTTGCCTATTTCGCACCCACCAGTTGCATTAAATTCTTATTAAGAGTCAGCTGTATTTGTCACAAACCTGTTTATGCCAACTGTGTTGTTACAATTATATAACTGAATTAAATATTATGTAAACTAATGAAATTTGAATGCAAAACTGGAATAGTTATTCTAATGAAAACCAAACACTTTGAAATGACTGAAAGGTAAGTGGCTAAAAATTATAATAAAACCCATAATTAAATTAGGCATATACAATATACCGTACATAATACCACATATAATGAAATATACTACCATATAGTATCAGAAAAGTGACATAAAAACTACTAATGCCATACTGAGATTTCTTTGCAAGTACCAAGGTTTAGCTTTACTTGAAAGAAATAAAACTTGGAAATTACAATTAGCCATCAGTACCATTTATGTACTGAAAAATAATGTGGGACTCCAATAAACAGATCATATTCAAAGGCTTTATATCAAAATATTGGTGAATAAATTAAACATTATACTATTAAATTTTAATTTATAAATTTTAAAGTAAGAATTTCTTTTAAAAATTCCTCACCTTAAACTGACTTTCTTGATGGACAGATCATCTACTGGTTTTGATGCCAACAGCGTAAGGGGCCTGTGCTGTACAACCTCCTGTTCTACCAATCTATACCATCCTTTCTCACCTCCTTTGCAACCTCATCAATACTTACTACAATCTCTTGACCCTCTGTTATTGTGCTACTTTGTCAGGCTCCTGTGCTGACAACCTCCTGTTCTCCCAATCTATACCATCCTTTCCCACCTCCTTTGCAACCTCATCAATACTTACTACAATCTCTTGACCCTCTGTTATTGTGCTACTTTGTCAGGCTCATCCTGGCTTCATTTCTTTCCTTACTAAGCCAAATGCACAACCTTACCTCAAGAGTCTAAGAATGGGGAAGGGGCTAATTTTGCTCTAAACGCCAGACTCCTTTCATCACAAGCCTTCAGGGAGGTAGAATCGTTTGTCTACAGTACTGCTTCTCAAAGTGTGCTTCCCAGACCAACAGCATCAACATCTCTTGGAAACTTGTAAGAAATGCAAATACTCCCACCCCATCTCAGACTTACTAAATCAGAAACTCTGGGGGTGGGACTCAGCAATTTGTATTTTAACAACTCTTCCAGTGAATTATGATGCAAGGTTTATACAATTAAGGCATCTGTATTTTTCTAGATAATTGTTCCATGCCAGACACTGTGTCAAGGCTTTGCATTCTCACCACCACAACTTCAGGAACAACAGCTGTTAACATTTATCGAGCATTTACTATATAATAAGCACTTTCTAATCTTCATTTAATTCTCACAATAACCTTAATAAGGATGTATTGTTCCTATTCCCATTTTATAGATGAAGAAAAATAGTAACTTGCCTAAGTTCAGAAAAGTAGTAAGTGTTAAAGTCCAGATTCAAATTCGTGTTCTAGAGTCCACATTATTAACCACAACCTGATATTGTCGTTATCATGCCTATTCCTCTCAGCTATGTTATAACTAAGGTAATACTCATATCGGAGATGTATGAACACACTTGGGTAAGCATCTTTCCCAAGATCACAGAGCAACAGAAAAAGGATTTATGTCTGAGTTTATCTGACTGGAAAACTCATACTCTTAAACAGTCTGTTATACCTCCTCAAATAAAAGCAAAAGTTATGACACATCTACTATTATCGATTATCCCATTTAACCTATTATTGATTATACCATTTAACCTCCCCTTTGCTGAATTCCTGAGTAACAGTGTATTCTTCAGGCAGAGTATTAATTCAGCAGATTGGTTTAAACCAGTGAGAATCAAGTTCTGCTTTTTTTAGGTGAGTAGGGCAGGAGTGGCCAATGGTCATACAATTCAAACTAAAATAGAAACATTAGGAATTGTCATAAAAGGTGGAAAGGGGAGGAAAGAAATGAAGGAAATACGTTTTTTTTTTTAAACTATTCTCTTTGGCCTCTGTATATTAAATTAACAACAGACATCAAATGTTTTGAAAAGATAAATTAAGGTCCATGTATTTTGGCTCTCAAATACTGATGAACTTAAGAAAATTCTTTATTCTTTATATTTTACAGCATTTTCCAAATATAAGCATTTCTGGTATATTCCTTTGATGAAAGTAAAGGCTTAAAAGACATTCCTTCCACCAAAGAGGGGCAGGTATCTCAATAGCAGCTTGTAACAGTTAATGACCAATTAAACAAAAATGTAAGTTATGATTAGAGAAACAGGAACTAAGTGTAATGGCAAAATTTAAATCCATTACAAGTTTATTGTAATTCTTTAAGTATTCTCTTAACTGAATGTGCTGTTTGTTGTATCTTCTTGTAACATTAGAATCATTCACCTGAGGAACTGGAGCTCCTTATGTTTAAAAGTATCACTACACTATCACAGCATTTAGATTCAAGAGAAGTTTCAAATTGATCATCCAAGTTATTCCAGGTCACTGCACATATGGAGGTATAATGGAGTTTTGGCTTCAACCCAAAGTATACCTTCAGTCTGTAAGGAAATAAGCATTTTAAGCACACTTAACCAGCAGGATTTACCAAATAGAGTTGGGTGCCAGAGGTGGGGAGGAAGATGAAGAGCAAATAATTTTCTAAATTGTTGGAACAGTTGGCTAGTCACTAAGTTCCAAGGCAATTCCTATTTACTTCTACAAGAAAGTTCCATGTAAATCTGCTCCTACTGACATTATTCCAGAGAAACAATTGTAACATCTGATTCTTTCTTTACATAAAAGCTACTAAGTACATTTCAAAAACAATTCCTATAGACAAGAACACAGCACAAACCTGAAAGCTAACTGCTCTGCAACAACATAACAGAATGTAAAAAATATATATATATCAATAAAGTAAAATTAAAAACAAAACAAAATGCTGAAAGCTACTGTGAAGACTACAATTGAAATAAATTTAAAATAATTTTTAGAAAAGCCTATGTTAACAAGCTGAAAATAATTGGCATTCTATATGAATCATAAATTAAAATCTTTGTAAAAGTACTGAGATATATTACTTAATGAACTTTACTTGAAGATATAATTTTCTTTTTTTTTTTCCTTTTTGTCTTTTTTACTGACCGGTAACGGGATCGCAACCCTCGGTGTCACGCCCATACCGGGGACCGGCAACGGGATCGCAACCCTCGGTGTTGCGCCTGCACCACGCTCAGCCAGTGAGCGGGAACCGGTCTCCACTTGGGATCCGAACCCTCGGCGGGAGCGCCGCCGCACTCCCAAGCGGTGCACTCTCCAGTGCGCCACCGGGCCGGCCCGAAGATATAATTTTCAAGTGAAGAAAAATTATGATGGACAAACGTCACTTGTAAAAGGAAAAAGTGATACTTCTGTAAAACCTATAATCTTTGTGTTGCAGTGCTAAGTATAAAGATAGATGTTCGAACTGTCAGATTTTAGTACACTTTAAAATTGGTAGAACAAACCACACTGTTCACCCATTTTTTTATTTTCTGTATATTACAGTGCTTTGCCATCTTAAAAAAACCTTTCTGGCTGGGGAGAGACTGCCTTTCCCCTCCAGTGCTAGCCAATTCTTAGAGATAGAAAGGTCCCAGCCTTTGATATGCAAACTAGCCAAATCCAGAGCTGCACATCCTCTATCCGGCCCACATACCCTAGGAGACAACCTAGACAATATCCCTCTGCCTTAACCATCTCAGTGCCAGGCAATGGGGGACCACCCCTATAGGTTAGAGGCTGCTGAGATTACTCATATTAGCTAATCCTCAACTGTTTCCTCTGCCCTGCTTTGCCTTTCCCATGGAAATCCCAATAAAGGCTCTACCTTGGCTTTCCCCTGTTCCTGCTTTCTGCCTTCTGACCACCCTGAGGCCCTGCATGGCATGCATTTGACTGGCTATCACATAAAAAAACACAGAACATAAGCAACAGGCCAATCAATGATTTTTATGTACTTTTGTTTTTAAATTGTATGCACATTACATAATCTGAGTTTTAATTACTAAACTGAATTAAAAAAAATATTCTTTTAGGCACTGGCATACAGAAAAAACTTTTCTCCACTGGTATAGATTAACCAAAGACTGCATTTCTATGTCCACTTTGGAAATTAATTTTGTCATTATTCTCCCAAATTTAAGTCTGACATAAAGGATATCATCTGAAATGAACAAAGCTCTTAAATAAGAAAAGAAATGAAATACCCACCTGTGAAGGTGTACTGGTAAGTTCCATCTTCTCTTGTGATTTCTCTTTTGCTAGTCGAGCAGCTTCCTTAAATTCCTGAAACTTTTCTGCAAACTGAATGTATAAAGACTATATACGTTAACCAAATAAAAATAAGTTACAGTGCCAACTTTTACCTTAGCTTTCTTCCATTTTCTGAATGACTGACTCTTACACAAGCAATATAGCCTCAAATCAATTACAACTTGTAATATGAAAAAGGTAGAAAAAACACCTAATACATTTGTTTGTGCACTATAAAGTACTTTAACAAATCTCATTAAAAAACAACACAACATAACTAAGTTAGCACTTGGTGTCAGTTAGCTTACCTATATGCCTCCTTGGTTGTTCAGAAATGATTTACTAAGACCAAGGTGGAGGGTAGAATCAGTAAAGATAAGTATACTTTGTTTCATTTATCACCAAGAAAATTGAATTTCTTAAGTATTCACTTGTAAACATCACAGTATTTAGAAAAGGCTTTTTGTATTTTCACTAAAATACAAACTGTCATATTATGAAAGGTATTTTATTTTCAACAATACAAACAGAAATATTTACTATTATCACTAACTGGTAACTAAAAATTCATTTCCAAATATTTCTTTTTTTTTTTTTTTTTCCTTTTTGTCTTTTGTCGTGTCTGGCAACGGATCGCAACCCTCAGTGTCGCGCCCGTACCGGACTGGGACCGGCAACGGGATCGCAACCCTCAGTGTTGCACTCGCACCTCGCTCAGCCAGTGAGCGGGAACCGGTCTGTATGTGGGATCCGAACCCTCGGCGGGAGCGCCGCTGCGCTCCCAAGCGGCGCACTGTAGCAGTGCGCCACTAGGCCAGCCCGTCATTTCCAAATATTTCTGAACAGCTAATGTGCAGCAGCAGAAAAGAATAAAATACTCCACAAAGGTCTTTAAGCCTGGTAACAATTTCAAGACAAAAATTATTGCACATGAAATGATAATTCTTAGGAACCCATAGGAAACTATCAAACATCATGGCCATGAACATTTATTTATGTTTTGGAAGTGGAAGCTATTCTATCACTATCATTAGAGAGGATAAGTTAGGGCTGCAAAATAACTAAATTTAAAAACCTAAAATCTCTATGTAACTTAAAATACATTGTTAGAGTTAGCAATAAAAATTTGAAATTATAATTCCCTTTGCAAAGCCCCATAAGCCAACCCTGATTTCATTTCCATCTCAGGAAGGAAAGTTTTGAAAGGAACGGCTTGTGATACTTTGATCTGCCTTGAAGAGATGGAGTAGGGTCAGAATCACAGCTGTTGTTATTATAAATTTTCCTTCTTATCTTCACCTACAACTTGTAGAACAGGAAACTGTATTTGTGCTACTATACTTCTCTAATTGAACAGAATGTCTCTTTATATAAAAAAAATTTGAATGTAAAGCTAAAAAGGTCTCACAGTGGTGAAAATGAAATAAAACCAAAACCATAATTAACTTTTCTTTATGTAATTTGAAGTAGTGCACAAGGTTTTTCTTACACTAATTTAGCATTCCAAACTAATGATTTAAAAGCATTCTCAAATTTCATAAAAACCTACACTATTGCTAATTTTTATATCCTTAGTTCTCAGCAAAAGAAAAACATGAAGGTTTAGGTTTCTGTGATAATAAAATACAACACAGTAAACACTCCAACAATACAAGCATAGTTGGAATTTTGCTCACATTAGTCAACCTTGGGAGACCATACATTTCTTCCAATAATGCTGCTTTTCCTTATTTTGAGAGGCCCTTTTCTGAAATTGTATCCAGAGCCTTCTCCAAACCTTTATAATGCTTTGACTCACTCATGATTTTTAATGATAAAATAAGCCAGAATATATTTTTATATGCTTGCTTCATTTATGTGAAAGATTATAAACTCATTTGGACCCCCTACAGCCTGCAAAGGACAAAGATTAGTCTTCAAGGTAGCTTGGAAAATAATCATGATTTTTTCATCTTTGGATTAAAGGATTCCAAAGAATCTGATTTTAAGCTCTTGGAGCCAAGTACAGCAAATAAACTAGACTTGGCTCTAAGAGCTTAAGCGTTGTTTCCCGCTATTCAATCCACCCTCAAAATACTAGGAATCACCACCAATAAGGTTAGTTAAAAGTAGATACTAACTTTAAAGAAGAAAAAAATTCTTGAAAAACGAAAACCATTCCCAGAAAAAAGAACAAATAAGAAGAGACAGTATGACTGACAGAATTTAATAAATTTTTCTTTTACTACATTAGCTAGCTGCTCAGTCACTTAAAAGATATAACAAAGAACTTAATTTATAGTCAGAATTAGTTGGGCCCCAAAATCATTTCATGGAAGTTTGAGAAGTTACCTATGATTTAGTTTTTGTGGTGTCAAGTCAAGAAATTCAGCAAGTGGAATACACTTATAATTTTAATTTTTATGCTATAGGCTTTAATAGACAATTCCAAAAGAAAAGTTCAAAAAAGGTTCTGAGCAATGGCAAAGGCATTAGAATAAACATATAATTTCACAAGGGAATTATTTATGAAAAGGTAATGCTCAACTGGATGCCTGTGTCCTTGTTATGCTTAGATACTTTGAATTTAAAATTATGTATTTAGCAAATAAGACATATACGAGAGAAACCAAATCAGATAACACTTGTTTGTTTTATTCATCCTACAGAGAATGATTTATAAACACCAAGGTAAAAGTTAAAATACTCTAAAAATAGAGCTTTAAACTATAATTTATATTCAAAAGATAACAAAAACACTTGAGAACAACAGTGTTAAGTGTAAACAGTTTGATGCACAAGTGAAACAAAAAAAAACAAAGTAGATGATTTCAACTACTGAATTATCTAACTATAACTTCAAGTCAATAAACATTCACAAGAGGGTAAACTTTTTAAAAAGAACTCATTTTTAAGAATCTGAATGATTTCTGTAATAAATAGCTTAAGGTTTAATGTAAATATGAACAGGGTATATCTACAAGAGCCCGATTGCCCTGAACTTAAACAATTTCAACTCTTAAGCCATTACAATCTCAGTATACCAAATCACATGTAAAAAGTTTCAAACGTAGGATCATCCTTTTAACTCAATACTTCAAACAGAGAGGTTTTAAGCATAAATCTTTGGTGGGCACAAAATTTGAATAGTAAACTGAATAATACTCATCTCCTTGATCATCTTAGTATTCTGAGATTGTTTCAATTTCCTTTTCCTGATACACTCTTTCCGTGTAACATCTATAAGAAGTCAAGGTGCTCCAGGTATGAACACCATCATGGCTTTTTTTTTTTTTTTTTTTTTTTTTTTTTTTTTTTTTTTCCGGC